GAAAGTTGATAGTGATATCAAAGCTTCCAACATATGTAGTTATACTATCGAAAGAAAGCGCATCAGTTCGACGGCTGTGGATAATTAAAACTGTTCCAGCTATGCGTCCAAACGGCCTTGTATATGTCATTATTCCAAATAACACAATCAGAGTCGCAAAAGTTTTCAAACAATCAGCAATTATGGTTATATAGGTGTAGAATGTGGTGTGTTCTTCATGTGAAACAAAGTTATCATCAATATCGATCACCATCGATTCCAGCTCTTTGGTTGATTCCATTAAATAATTTGAAATTGCAGTAAGTTTAGAATTATCAAATTCAACTTGTAGTTTGTATCTATCTGGATCAAAGATACGGAAATTTCGCTTCCTCCCTTTTATTTTCGAAAAAATATCCTGATCTGGTGTGAAAGACGCGTATTTTGCAAAGTCATCAATTGTCTCTTGATTTACTGTATTTATGGTTTCGTTGCTTTCCGAACGCATTTCCTTATCATATGGTCCTATAAGTGTTAGTTTGAGTGATGGTATAAATACTTCATTAAATGGAGGGATAGTAACGACATCGGCAAATCCGCTGTTTATTATTTCAGTGTCCAACCCGCGTTTGTTAATTAATACGTAATTGGGTATGATTTTTGAGTGCAGTATGAATTTATTGCTCGTTATGGCAATAGGTAAGTAGGTTTTTATATTTCGCTGCATGAGTTTGCATTCTTGAACAATTAATGAAGCAGACCAGTCCATCAGGGCCTGGCTGCAATCAGAGGGCATTCTAAGAGTGTGAGATTGAAAGGTGAAACAAACTTCATTAGCACCTGTAGCTTTACACGCAAAGTCAGTTTTATAAGTCTCTCTATGTAGGCGTTGATTATGTACTAGCCATAGGCTGATTGGGGTATCTATGACCACTAGATTGTTGTTGTCTTTGGTTGTATTGCCGCATATAGATTGATGGCAAGGAAATCCGGTTGAACGGAGCGATACCATATCAAATTTATTTGGCTTGATTGGCTTCCGAAGAGGTATTTGTAGGTGGACATATAAGGCATTTTCAGTCAAGTCAATTCGATAAGTTACGAGGGGCAAAACGTAATATAGGTGGTAATCCTCATAATCGATTCCAAGTTCATATGTGTATTGTATATGTTCTTTTATCCCATCAAGTATCGGTTTTAAACTTGTCCAAGGAATTAGTTGATGACTTAGAACCGATCTTCTTAGATCTGCCATTATGTTTTCAAAGTTTTGAAACATATCCATGATAAGCAATGATAGCTGTTGTAGTGCGTTTAATTTTAAAATTTTAAACATATTTGTGTGAGTGAGTAGAGCTAATAGATATTGCTGTTCATTAAGCAAATCAATCTCTCTTTCAACAAAGTCTGAGAGAGCCCTCAGTTGATTCTCCGTAGTAGTCTTCAAACTTTCTAACTTCTGATTTAGAAGTCTATTACTTTCGTCCAACACATTATTTATCCCTTTTAGTTTATCTCTCAAAATTTCGATGTTTTGCTTGTTTAGATCAAGTTGTCCTTTTAGTTTTCTAAAGTCGTTTTCTAATTCCCTGATATCAGAATCCTGATTCACATTCCACCCGGCTAAGAATGCAATTCCGGAAGCAATCGCAACCCCAGCACCCACAACCGCCATTGTTATCGGTTCGAATCGCTGCACCCTTATTAATTGTCTTTCTTTAAATTGTGTATGAGCTGACTTTAATGTCAATATTGTCGTTTCCATTATGCTTTTAACCTCATTTTCAAGTTGGTTACAACTTTCGTTTAGCTGCTTATACAGATCTTTCGAATTTTCGTCAAATATCTTTTTAGTAATGTTGTCATTAAGTAATGCAAGAAAATCTAAACAGTCAGTTGGCATAACTGTGTTAATAAGTTGAGGTCTGAAAGTCGGTAGCTCGACACGTATAAAGTGATCCCAAACTGAGTCAAAGACGTATCCGACTCCATTGCGTATAAATTGTACTCCAAATATTCCTGCTTTGGTAACATAGTCTTCACTCAGAAAGGATGGGTTATAAGTAAGTAGTTCATCCTTTGTTGTTATTATTGTCGATTCGTTATTGAATTGTTCGGGAATAAATGATTGGTTTAAGTGTTTAGTTAAGAGTTTTCGTGAGGTTTTTCTTTGCTTTATACTTTCGATAAATCTTTGTTTGTGTATCTCATCGTACACGCCTACGTTAGGGAATCGATCAAAATCGTAGGTACCAAATGGTAAATCATCCATGGTTACGAGATAATCACCGTCAGTGTATGCATATGAAAAAGTGCTTTGAAGTCTTTGTAAATTTTTGGTTTTATCAAATCTATTCGGGTCACTTTCTAATAAATATACGGCTTCGGGTTCCGGACCAAATTCGGTTTTGGAGATGGTTAGTATTGCTGCACTTTTATACAGAGTCGGGTCTGTACTTATAGTAGTACCCAATAAGTTATAAACTCGTAATTCCTTATCTGTTATTTGAGCGTCTTTGAGAAACAACATTCGCCAAGCCTTAAAATATATAATCACTTCAAGACCATCCATACATTTCTTACAGTGTGTTTTATATACGGATTCATCACAGCCCACCGGGGTGGGTGGACAACTCAATATTTCGAGATCAGCTCCAGTTATGTTTAAAAAATACGTATCGAAAGGCTCTCGTATAAAATGCCTTGTTTCGTTATAACACCACGTGTGCATAGATAGTATATGGTCTTTGTAATCTTCCGCTATCATATAACTGTCGAGGTTTAAACTCTTATCTTCTGAGCCGAAAGTTCTGCGTGACCATGATTTTGGTAGTGAGGGAGGTCCTCGTGAAACAACATTGGCGAGAGTGAAGCAGAGCAGTAAAAGTATAATCTTCGAAAACATTGACTGTAAAGTATAAAGTAGCGTAAAGTTAATCTAACAATCGGGTTCATAGTCAGGTTCAAAGTTGTCGTAAAATCTTATTAGAGGAGAGTCAGGGCATCTAATTGTAATCCCCAAAGGTTGTCTAGTCGGGTCGACCCAGTGATCACTCGGGATTAATTTATAGAGTTGGAGGGTAACGCATGCATCAGTTACAGGACTGTGAGATTTAATTGCTTTGTTGTTTTGAATGTCTGTATCCAATATGTATTTGGCTAGCCATTCCAATTTTACTGACTGAATGCCGGCGTCCATTGGTCGACGATAATAGTCTTGTATGTCCTTGTAGTTAATTTCAGATTGGTTTATTTCTAAAGCTTTAAGGTCGCTTTCATGATTGCAGGTGACTAAAATTTTGTTTTGAATTATTTTAAGGAAATTTGTTTTAGCCAGTGATCGCACCATCATCTGATCTGAATGTTCCATTAAGTCTCTGAAGTTATAACCAGTTATTGGTTTCCAACAGTTAATGCGACCTGTCGACGGGGGTGACCAGAATGAATGATATAGCAGTTTGTAGTCGGGTACGTGTGATCGTCCCTTCAAATGTTTTCTATCTTTTTTTGGCACTTCACACATTAATGCTACGCGTATTGCGATTGGTTTACCCCTTTTCGCGTTATTGGGTATAAGTTCGGCTGACTCGACATCTACGGCAACAGCAGACATGTCTGGCAACATCTTAAGTGTCTCCTCGTCTATAACTTCCGGCCTACTTATAGTATCCTCCGGTCTAATATGAGTTCGACAAACGAATATCGATTTTCTACATTCATTACAATTTGTTTTATCAGGTATACTAAAATGATTATCATATTCAATTATTATTGAGTCTAAATTGATATCATGATAATCAGCTATTCTTGATAGTTCGTGTTTATAGTATTCTAATTTTAATCGACAATCGTTATATCTTTCTATAGCTTGTATATAATAATTAGTTAGTGTAGTTAACCAATATTCAGAAAATCTGAATTGAATAGGTTTGGGAAACACAATTACAGGAAACTGAGGTTTGACGGCTACATTGAATGTTGGTTTCCCTTTCTTAACCTTTTCAACCTGTCGGTATAACTCTTTTCTGATGTAAGTAATTTTCTCTCTTTCTTTAGTGACTTCTCTTTTAATCTGACGGTAGTCGGGAAAAATCTTTTCGATCTCGCTGATAATTTGTTTTGTTTGGTTTGACATCTAATGTAAATATAAAATCAATGCGGGCTTTGATTATCAAAGTCTACATTAATTGTTGATCTATTTATTTAAACGTTATTCTAAACTAACTAGTCAAAATCTTATTCTATTTATTTGGTAGACCTTCCCACTATTGTATTAAGCTTACTGTAATGACCTCTCATATCCGAGTCCATACATCCACACAACAAAAAAAACAATTTAATTAATTTGCATAAAACATTTATTTTAACTATACTGATAAAATCATACATTAGTTAGAAAGTAATTATTTAAATAAGCAGCTTTAAAACAATTTATTATTTAACTGAGCGTTTTTTAAAACAAATAAAACATTTTGTGTTTTGTATAATTGCAGAATGATCGGTGTTAAAGGGACAAATCTGACGTAGCCGTGGTTCGAGTGAAGTCAGATTTCGAACTTGGAGTCTTTTTAAACTTCTGTACTTGTCGTAATGTTTCCATGTCTCAGGTCGTTTTTCAGGTCTTGCAAATTGATATAATTCGATGTAATGTGAACAATCTGCTATCGTTTTTAGATGTAATCTCAACTGTTCTCTTAACGTTCCTATTCTTCTGCCTTGTTCGCCATTAGTCGGGTTCGGGTTTGCAGCAATATAATTCTCGATGGCTTCTAATCTGGCTTTGACACGTCTATATAGCTTATTGTTGTTTTTTTGAATCATTCGTGATCCTCTATGTGTTGGGATAAACGGTTCGTCGGGATCGACTTGTCCTTCGTTATCGCTGTCCGAGATATCCATATTCTGGCTTTTGTTATCCGACATCTATTAGTAGGGTAGGTAAGTGGAAACAAAGAAAAGCATTAATTCATGCACAAAAACTCAATATTCAGTATTACATCTGGGTTTAATGTCGATAAGCAAGTAAAAAGGTAATTGTTTTAGTCAGTAAATGGCAACTGAATAGACGACGAATTATGAGTGTTAAAATGTTCCACCATTTTTCTAATTGATGAAAACATCATTGGACAGCCTGAGTGATCGCATTTAATGGTACACGTATTAACACTTGATAATGTCCGAACTTGGTTAACTCGAAATCTCGTGATTAGAGGTGGTGAAGGTGTCGGGACATATGGCGTCATTGACGAGTCACTTATATCATCAAGACTTATGGTGTCGGTGTCTTTGGCCAATGGGTTACATGAACTATTATGTTTTTCCCAATCGTTAAAGGAGTCAAAAGATCTTATGCAAAACACGCAGTCGAAATTATTAGTTCCGTGTTGTCGTCTTTCATGTTCGTTTAAAGAGATGATCGACTCGAATTTCGCATGACAGATAACACAAGGATATCTAGGATGGTGTCGAAGATAAACATGTATGTTCAAGTCTTCATCAGTTAAAAAGCTTTCGACGCAACCCTCTTTTTGACATTTTATTAATTGTAATTCCACCGGAGAGTAATCTGGGGATCTATGACCGTTGTTCATCGTAAGAAATAAGGTTTCACGCGATGTGTCACTATCTTCTAATGTTATTGTTTCGGGGTTTATCCGGACTGATTTACAAATTATGTTATGTGAATCTAAATCTTCCTTTGTACTGAATTTTTCATCGCAATATATGCAATCAGACAAATCCAACCCATGATGAGTTTCCTTGTGATCGCGTAAGGTTTTGGGTGATCTGAAGTCTTTGTTGCAATCACAACATCTATATGAGTTTGGAAATTTTCGAAATTTAATTTTGTGATTACGTTGGCGGTGTAGAACAAGATCTCCCTTTTCAGTGAAAAATTCGGGGCATAGGTCACATTTCCTTGCCGACTTGAGCTTTCGGTTATGCATAGCTTTCTTGTGATTGTATAAATCGTAGCCACTTGAGAACTTTCTTTCACATAATAAACAATAAAATGGTTTTGCTTGTTGTTTGGGTGTATTTTTATTTTTTGTCAAACGTTTAGTCCGTTCAACTAAAGGATCAGGTGGTAATTTGGGCCTGCCGTTGTTGAGCTGACGGATACAGTCAGCCGAGTAAGTGTCGAGATGTCTAAACGATGCGTTTTGCCAGCAAAACCTTTGCTCACATGAGCCTGTAATGCAATGATACTTAGGTTCCCTATTGTGTTTATATACCAGGTGATGATCAAGTTTTTCTTGATTTATAAAAGTTTCATCACATTTGTGACAAACACCGTGCTCAAGTTTGCCGTGTTGATTTAATTCTCTTAGATTAAGAAATAATTTGCTGCAGGTTTCGTCTTTGCACGTGAAAGAAGATTGGATTAGCTTTGGCCAATTCTTGTCGCCGCTATACTTAGTAGTCGTAAATGTTTGAAGCAAAGTGTTACCGCCAGTCGTGTTGGACTGATGACAGACAATGGGAACTTTGTTTTTATAGAAGGGACTGCTTATTCTTTTTTTGTCCGGTAATTTCATAACATTTAGCTCATCATTGCAGTGTCTACTTTCAACTTGATGATTATGCAGTTTTATGTAATCATAAAATTCTTCATTGCAGTTGTTACAGATTATTGGTGGTTCAAAACCGTGATGTATCATTTCGTCAATGAATTTGCGCGCTTGGAAAGCGCTAAAATCGTGTTTGTAGACCAAATGTTTGTAATATAAACCCGGTTCAATAAATTTCCCTCTACATCTCACGCATTCGATGGCTTCTAGACAACGTCGGTCGTTAGGTGTAAATATATAGGTTACCACGTTTGTCTTTTCTGATTTGTCACGTATTAGTTCTTCAACACTGGACAATGAATCCCTACTGTAGCTACTATCGTCATATAGGCCCGACATTGTATACTATTGAATATCAAGATTATGTTAGTTGGTGTATAGGTAAATGTTAGCAAATAAAATAATTAAAGCATAAAATATTAGGTATAACATCGGGTGACCGGCTTTGACTTCACCGAAAACACCTAAGTATACCTTAGAATTAAGCATATTACAGATACTACATATACACACACACACATACAATACCATACACAATACTACCTACAAATTGCATCTAACATTTTTAGGTTGTAACGCGGACGCCCAGCAGTGCCGTCACACGGGTCGCCTACCCACAACCTTTTAAATGTCAAGTGCTCTGACAATGGACTCGGCATAAGTAGGGGTCATTAACTCTAATTGTTTTCTTGTTGAATTATTCATAACCTTAATAACCGGTATATTCTCTGGTAGGTTTTCTAACCATTGATTATAATAGTGATTAAGCTCAAGGAGGTAAGGGACACGTATGTAACCACTTTCCTCGGCCCGCGCTCGACAATATATATTGTTTGTGAGTTTATCTATAGGGGTTTCGATATAAACTACCAGATCGTATTTCAAGGCGTCCGCATATTGAGATAACTGTTCATTAACTATAGCATCGAATACCTCACTTTCATAGTTAGTCATGAGGTGTTGATCAACAAGTGTGGGTTTGAACACGCGAATCGCGGAGAAATACGATCTCTCCATAACCTTAATGTCTGTCCCGTCACAAGGCAATGCTCTGTGATGGTCAATCATTGTAAGTGCAACATAACTTTCAAATAAAAAGGCTCTCTTATCAGGTTTCCTATAGTAGGCTTTTAATAAGTTAAGGCCGTTTAGGTCCCTCCACTTTTCTATAGGTTCATTATGTATTGAAAGTCTGTTCGCTATCTGAGATTGCTTCAAATAATGACTAAAGGTTGTCTTTCCTGACCCTATATTCCCCTCAAGTAATATAGTTTTATACATTATAGCCCAAAATCAACAACGGTATACCACTAGGCCCTAAAGATTACTAAATTAAAATAGTAAAATAATTGAAATAAACCGGTTAAATAACTTAATTGATTGATTTTAAAATTAAATCATGGAATGGTCAGTTTCGATTGAGACAATTATGCTCAAGTGTTTTTAACTTAATGTTTAACAAGTAAATCAAAAGTGAGTTACTACGGCCGTTCGTGACTCACGATTACATACACTTGTTTATAAAATTAGTAAATGAATTGATAAAAAAAAATTGAAACATAAAATAAAAGGATAGGGTTATTGTGTTGGATACACCTCGACCACCGGGATCAAGCACCCGGCCCAAGGCACAACTGCCCGGGTCAGTCAAGGGAAGCAAATAAAAAGACAAAACATAAGCAAAATACATTTAATTGAATTAAATAAATATAAATTTCAAATTAAAATTAAATTAAAACAAATAAATCAAATGTGGGGCTTTTGGGAGTTTAATATCCCACACTTCTGAAAATAGGTCTCATGTAACGGTCTAGAGAGACGATTGAAAGAGATAGCGTACCACTACTGTGTGTAATTGGTAATTGGCTATTGAAAGAGATAGCGTACCACTACATCTGGTATAATCGGTAATTGGCTATTGAAAGAGATAGCGTACCACTACATTTGGTATAATCGGTAATTGGCTATTGAAAGAGATAGCGTACCACTACATTTGGTATAATCGGTAATTGGCTATCGAAAGGGATAGCGTACCACTACATTTGGTATAATCGGTAATTGGCTATCGAAAGGGATAGCGTACCACTACATTTGGTATAATCGGTAATTGGCTATTGAAAGAGATAGCGTACCACTACATTTGTATAATCGGTAATTGGCTATCGAAAGGGATAGCGTACCACTACTTTGGGTATAATTGGTAATTGGCGGTAATTGGCTAATTGGCGAAAGGGATAGCGTACCACTACTTTGGGATATAATCGGTAATTGGCTATCGAAAGGGATAGCGTACCACTACTTTGGGATATAATCGGTAATTGGCTATCGAAAGGGATAGCGTACCACTACTTTGGGATATAATCGGTAATTGGCTACCGAAGTGGATAGCGTACCACTACTTCAACTATTTCAGTTAAAATGTTAATTTAGGCTTACGGTTAAATTTGTGGTAAACGGTTAGGTGATAGTGACCGCCTCCTTGTTGTTGTTATCTCTTGAGAACAGTTCGGTAGTAGTGATCGCCTCTTTGTTGTTGTTATCTCTTGAGAACAGTTCGGTAGTAGTGACCGACTCTCTGTTGTTGTTATCTCTTGAGAACAGTTCGGTAGTAGTGATCGACTCTGTTGTTGTTATCTCTTGAGAACAGTTCGGTAGTAGTGATCGACTCTCTGTTGTTGTTATCTCTTGAGAACAGTTCGGTAGTAGTGATCGACTCTCTGTTGTTGTTATCTCTTGAGAACAGTTCGGTAGTAGTGATCGACTCTCTGTTGTTGTTATCTCTTGAGAACAGTTCGGTAGTAGTGATCGACTCTCTGTTGTTGTTATCTCTTGAGAACAGTTCGGTAGTAGTGATCGACTCTCTGTTGTTGTTATCTCTTGAGAACAGTTCGGTAGTAGTGATCGACTCTCTGTTGTTGTTATCTCTTGAGAACAGTTCGGTAGTAGTGATCGACTCTCTGTTGTTGTTATCTCTTGAGAACAGTTCGGTAGTAGTGATCGACTCTCTGTTGTTGTTATCTCTTGAGAACAGTTCGGTAGTAGTGATCGACTCTCTGTTGTTGTTATCTCTTGAGAACAGTTCGGTAGTAGTGATCGACTCTCTGTTGTTGTTATCTCTTGAGAACAGTTCGGTAGTAGTGATCGACTCTCTGTTGTTGTTATCTCTTGAGAACAGTTCGGTAGTAGTGATCGACTCTCTGTTGTTGTTATCTCTTGAGAACAGTTCGGTAGTAGTGATCGACTCTCTGTTGTTGTTATCTCTTGAGAACAGTTCGGTAGTAACAATCAAATTTGTATTTAATTTTAAACTAAATTAATAATAAAAACACATTTTTTGTCTTTAAAATTCATTTATTCTGATATAAAAACACTTTTCTGATGTTCACTCATACACTGTTAACAACCGACTCGATCGGGAACTTGTGAGTCAAACAGTTTTGTTGGACGACCAGTACGGGTGGGGTTTCATACATTCATACCATTCAAGGAATGGTATGCTGTTTGCGTAATGTTATGTCTATTGCGTGTATACTGAAGTTATTTTTGTAAAAATAGTTTATTTCAAAATAGAAGCTATTTTTGAAACTACTTTATGACAGATAATTAAAAAAAAATTATTATAAAACAATTTTCAAAAAAAACTTGAAAAGTTTTGTTTTCTGAAATCTATACGAGCCTTTTTTGTGTGTGTGTGTGTGTGTGTGTAGCAATTTTTTTGCGAATTTTGAAATTCTGACTTCAGATTCGGTTAGAGGACTACTAATAATGTATTGAAAAGTTGCATTAAAATTTTGATATTTCTTCGGGAACATGGACAAAATGGCTGCCAAAGTAAAAAAAATTTTAAGAAATTTTTTTAAAGTATAGATTTGAATAAAGCATCAAAAACAAGCATAAGAAATATGCATTAAAATTTTGATCTCTTCGGGATCATAAAGAAAATGGCGGCCAAAGTAACAAAAATTAGGTAAAAATTTTAACGTTTAGAATTGTAAAGAGCATCAAAAAAATGATATAATATTTCAGCATATTTTTTTTAAATGGCGGCAAAAGTATAAAAAAATTTTATTTAATGTATATTTGACCAGTTTTTAAATTTTTATATATTATATAGCCGCTATAACTAATGGTTTTCAATGCTATTCAAGTTTTTTTTCTGAAAATGCTTTCTAGCATTCTTAACTGGTTTTGTAATCAATTGGTATACAAAAAATATGACTTAACAATTATAAAAAATATATTGTTTTTGTTAAAAATTAAATTAACTCATAATTTATTTATTATGACCTTGATAATATTTTTAAATATTCAATACTATTGTATTATCTAATATTGTATAAACTAACCCTAATTTAAACCCTAATATAAACTAATCTATATATACTGTATATAAAAAACTACTATTTTTATTTAAAAACTAATATAAAAAATTAAATTAAAATCATTAATCAATCAACAAAAAAAACAAACAATTTATACCATTATTGTAGAGTTTTTTGTTGAATGCTTTTTGCGGGACGTGGGGTAAAAACTCGGTACCAAATACCGGTAGATTTACGGGAACTGTGTTGACATCACTAGTTGACAACTCATAAAATATGTTGGTATCGGCAACTGATCTCAAACAGTCTAACCATTGGTAGTCATAGGGATCGCAACCGACTTTCTGAGCCCATTGTTTAGCTTTAGTCAGTGCTCGTAGAGTATGGTCTATCGGTATGTCCTTATTGAACATCAATGACCCGCTCTGCATAATAGCCCGTTTGAATAGGCCTGTGGACAGTGGCGATAGTAGATGTGCCGATACAGACATACTGCCGGCGCTTTCACCGAAAATTGTTACCTGATTGGGGTCACCGCCAAAACTTTCAATATTATCTTTTATCTAAAAAATATTGATATAAATAATAGTTTAGTTTTATTTATATCTATTTCTATAATGATTTAGTATACCAACCCATTTGAGTGCCAATAACTGGTCGTATAGACCGGCATTTCCCGGTGCCGATTCGTGGCCACCATATAGAAAGCCCAGTACACCTAACCGATAGTTAGCCGCAACCAACACAACATCATTGGTGGCCAACACCGAACCGTTGTATTGATTTTGAAATATTGAGCCCAAACTGAAAGCGCCGCCATATATCCAAAACATGACCGGTTTGAGGCCAGTAGTCTCCAGACTCGGTGTCCATACGTTGAGTACCAGACAGTCTTCACTTAGTGGCAGATCTCCTACAAAACGTTTAGCTTCTGGAGTCAGATTCTGTATACAGGAGTTCCCTGGTTTTGTGCCATCGATAACATACTAATTATATTTTAAGGATAATATATTTTAAATTCTAATATTTTTTTACAAATACATACTATCAGACATACATACACACACACACACACACACACACACACACACACACACACACACACACATACATACATACATACACTGACACACCCACACTATAACACACATACTATGACACACACACACACTATGACACACACACACACACACACATACATACACTGACACACCCACACTATAACACACATACTATGACACACACACACTATGACACACACACACACTATGACACACACACACACACTATGACACACACACACACACACACAATATATATATATATACTATACATACATTGCGAAAGAGACTTAAAGTAATACCTTTGTGGGCACTTTAATTGGCACCGGTTTGGCAAACCTGAGGTCACCAACTGGTGGTTCGGCAAACGGTATGTTCAGAAACTGATGGACATCTCTATTAAGCACATGTAGTGTCTGTCCCCTAACTGTTGTTCCCGACAATGTTTTAACAGTTACAAAATTATCATCATCACTACAAATAACACTATTAATAACAATAAACACTACATATAATACATATAAATTTTTAATTAAATTATAAAAATTTTGTTGCATAATTATTAATATTATTAAATAAAATCACCAATAGTTAGTTGTATTGATGAAAATTTTATTTAAGCTAAAATGTTTAATTAATTTTTTTATAAATTAAAAAAGTATAACTGCTATAAATACTAAATTGTTAACTCATTATTATTATTATTACAACTACTAACTATATTATTATTTTTATTATAAAACTTATACAGTATCATTTATAAATATTACATGTACAAAAAAATACACTCAAATTTACTACTATTTATATTAACATCACTGTATATTATAGTATATTAAGTATAAGTTAGTACAGTATAAGTACAAACATGTATACAAACATATATACAGTATTAGCTGATTGATAATTTAGATAAGCTATTGGGATAAATAATATCTTATTTTTTTATATTTAATATATTTATTTTTACTTAACGATATGTTAAAATTTTGAACATTAATGTACTTTATTTTATTAGAGTAGTGATTTAGGTTTGGTTATTATAATAGATAGTTAAAAAAAATGGTTAAATATTGTAATTAGAAATTAATTTTAATACATTTTTTTTGTTATAGACATACATTAAAAAAAATATTAATAAATAGTTTTTTTCTCTATTTATTAATATAATATTAATATATTTTATTACAAATTTTTATTTACTATTTTTTTAAGTCTAGGTTTGGATATTTTAAAAATAAAACACTATTTTATGTTTTATTTATTTTTTGCAATCTATTATAAATAATAAAACAGTACAATAGTTTTATTTTTTTTTAGTACATGTTTGTACTTTACATTTAATATTTTTCCTTATATTATACAATTTAATTATAATTATAAAAACTAAGATAAAAACATTAATATAAAAAAAATTATTACTGGATTAAGCATTAAATATAAATGAATGAAAGTTTTGTTTAAAAATATTTTAATTTTTATTATTATTTTTTTTTAAATAAATCAATACAACTAAACAAAATTTTTAAAAAATATATTTACAACTATTTGTTTACAATATTTTTATTTACATATAGTTTTTTATTTAATTACAATTCCTGTTTTTGTCTAAAATAATAAAAAAATTTTGATAAATAAAAAATTAATAAAAAATTAATTTACATATGATTTTCTAATAGTTTAAAATTTTTTTTTAATATTTTAGTACTTACATTATCATTGCCAACAATTTTAATGTTGATTTAGTAGTCATATAAAGAAACTATAAAAAAATTATTAATCATAAATTAAATTATTTTATTTAATTTTTTAAAAAAAAAAGCTTTAATAATATGTTTTTTTTTAGATTTAATATAATAATAATAATAATAATATTCCTAAATATATATATACCATATTATAAGTAAATTGATTGATTAGAAACAGTTTCCAACAGTAGATACCTATCCTATGTTTGGCCAACATTTCAATCATTGATTGCAACTATAAAACAATATACACATACAAACAAAAATTAATATTTTGTAATTAATTATTAAAATTAATAATTTGTAATTAATTTGTAATTTACTAATTTGTACTTAATTATTAAGTTAATAATTTTGTAATTAATTTTTAAATTAATAACTTTGTAATTAATTATTAAAATTAATAATTTTGTAATTATTTTTTAAATTATAAATTCTATAACTTTTTATAGCTTTAAAATATCACATATATATATATATATATATATATATATATATATATATTAACATACTTTATATTTATTTTTCAATAATAACAATTTAGCATTAAAATTGATATTATTAGATTTACGATTATTATTATTATTATTACACTTAACATACAAATTGTTTAATAATTTATGTGTTTGTTTAGCACTGGTATTAATACTGCTGGCAAACACTATAATAGTTGTAATTACTGTAAAAATTATTAATACACAACTAATGGTAAACATATTGATAATTATGTTTATGTGTGAAAATATTAGACAACATAAACCATTGGATATAAATATTGTCGATAGTATCCAATAGTAGAAAACTAATTTTGACCATGCACAATTTACCAGTTGAATATTATGGAAATATTTCAGAAAATTTCTATGTAATTTATTAATAATAGATTTACTATTAATTAATTTTAATCGAGCCCGGTTACTTTTTAATTTTGTCCATATCGAAATATTTGAATTAATTTTATCAAGTTGATATTTTTTCCATAGACATARTGTACAAAATAATGTAACATGATAAAACATTAGTTTAACTAGCCAAACATAGCATAGTCCATAGTAAATGACATAGATCAATCCTAATGTTAATAAATACGGTAATGGATAAAATAATGATAGGGATACAATTGTACTAGTTGAATAAAATATAAATAATAATATAGATAGATATTTATTAAATTTTTCAAATAATTTAACCAGGTGCATATTTAGATTATTATCATCATTATTATTATCATTGGAATAATTTATACAATTATTAATACTATTGATATAATTTTTGTTATAATCTAGATAATTACAATTAAATGTAATACTAGTTAGCAAGGTCAATAGACATACTAGACAAATTTTACCATACATTTGTATTGGCCACATAAAAAACCAATCGCCAAAAATAATAGCCATATTATAGCTATCGTCAACATAAATGGTTATTATAATTGTACGAATAAATTCAATATACAATAGTTTGTTTAGTAGACATTGTTTGACATCCCTGTCCTCCCCATAGCCAGTGTTAACTTTAGGTAAGCCCATTAGGTAGCACTTGTAGGCCAATATGTTAAGGATTTGTTCATATATTTGTTGGCGATTTTTTCCAGACATTATTATTAATTGTAATTTTTTTTATTGTTATCCAAACATACAGATAATTAACTAACAAACTAATTAACAAACAAATAAAAACATAATTATTATTATTATTAAGTTTACAAAAAAAATATATTTCTATTTTGTTCAATAAATATCACAATATATATATATATACTGTATATATATATATATATTTTTTTGTAATTAATACAATAAAACTTAATTAAACTGATCTATATTTAGTTGTTTATAAATTGTTTTTTTTTATTATGCAATCTGTACCTTTAAATAACTATAATATTAGCTAAAAATTTATTATTAAGTAATATATATATATATATATATATATATATTAAAAACCTAAATTAAACTAAATTAATAGCAATAGTAATAATAATAATAATAATAATATAGTAATACTTATAATATTGTTATTTATGACTTATGATATTTATTAAATGTTTTTTAAAAAATATTTATATGTTATTAAAAAGTTATTTTTTGTAGACATAAAATATTACTTAGAAATTATTAATTATTTAAAGATAATATTTATTATAATTTTAATATCATTATTATTATTATGTTTTTAAATAAATATTATGTTATTATTATAATATTTTTTTAATGACTTTATTAGTTTATATAATAATAATCATTATTATTATCCATTAGTATAATAATTAAATTAAATTTTTTGTTTTGTTTTAATAATTTTATTGTCAAACTGACAATTAGATAAATAATAAAAATATGTTTTTTTTGACATCAAAAAGTCATTAAAACATATATTTAATTAAATATATATATAATTAAATATATATATAATTTATTAAACTCTAATATTATTTAATTAAATATTATTATTATAAATTATAATTAACAAAAAAAACTTTATATAAAAAAAATTTAACTAGATTAATTAGTTATTGTCAAAACAACAATCACACACACACACACACACATATATATATATATATACATAGATACACATACACATATACATACATACACGTACATACATACACATACACACACATACACGTACATACATACACATACACACACATACACACACATACACACACATACACACACATACACGTACATACATACACATACACACACATACACGTACATACATACACATACACACACACATATATATATATATATATATATATATATATATATATATATACATAGATACAAATACAAACACACACATATATATATATATATATAGATACAAATACACACACACATACACACACACACACACACACACACACACACACACACAGTAGACTCACATATTGGACACTTCTCTAAATCTATTAATATTATCATTATTTATATCGCTATTAATTGTTGACTCATGAGCACTGGGACTACTACTACTACTACCGGTGCCATAGATTTTCGGATATAACTGTCGCTGAATATCATCGATAGATTTGCCTTTAGTTTCGGGCAGAAACCATACAAATAGTATGGATAGTAGACTACAGGCCCCGTAAAACCAATAGGCACCGTATTTGTGGATACCTTGGACCATATCCTCAAACTCTTTGGTCACAACAAAAACGCATAACCAGACAAATACGCTGCACGTAGTGGTTATGAAGCCGACAAAAGCGGTCGTACAGATTTCGGTAATGACTATCCAGATGACTGGACAGAAACCGATACTGTAGGCTACGAAAAATATGACCATACATATGATAGGCAGTACCGATGCCGATGAATCGCCACCGACTTGGTTTCGGTTGGCATAGTAGTAGTAGCCGAGTACGGCTAGACTAACCGTATGACCCAAACCGCTAAACAATAGCAACAATCGCCGACCGAATCGGTCGATGGCCAGACTGCCGATAATAGTGGCCAAAAAATTACTACAGTTTACCACTATTGTCGCGTATTCGGCTCGCAGTGTTGAACCGCTATCTTTGAATATGTCGGTCATATAAAACTGTAGGGCATTTGAACCGGAAAACTGCTGAAACAAACACAACATCAGACCGATGGCCAGCGGTTTGTAGACATCCTGACGGGACAGTTGTCTAATGGAAAACCCGGAGCTTTGTTGTTGTTGTTGGTGTTGGCCATCAGTTTTCGATGCCGACGACGATCCTGAATGTGTGCCCCTATCCTCCAGTTCATCCAGTTCCTGATCAATATCGGAACTGGGATCCCTGAGCTGGTGCATGGCTTCGACTACCCGTAAGGTACGGCCATATTTTAACATTAGCCAAGCGGGTGATTCGGGCATAAAAAACATTGTTGCCGACAGCAGTACCGACGGTACTACAGCTGCCAAACCCAACCAATTCCAGTTGACCCATAAGCCCAGTATATCCATGTAGAGTATGCCTATCACACCAAACACCTGTATATATATATTTGAGGAAACAGTTAGATATTGGATGATAACATGTTAGTATATCAGTACATACATTGAATGCCATACCCAATAGGCCACGAATGTTTGGCGTAGATATTTCGGCAATATATGTAGGAACGGTACCTTAAATATATATACAGTATGTATAGACAGAGTATATACCGGTATATATAGATATATAGTTATTAAAATATATTTAAAATTGTTAATTAAAATTTTAAAAACTAATTAATTAAAACACACTTACATAGTATAACACCAGTGCACATACCGACTATAATACGGCCTAAAATTAATAGCCATACCTGTCGGCCAAAACTGATTATATATAAAAAAAAATTATGTTAATTAAAAATAAATATATTTTCACTTAATTTTAAAAAATAAATAAATATTTATATTATTAAAATATTTAAACTTTATTTCATACCATAATAATAGATAACCGGCACTGTTAGGTATGCCCAATAAAATTAGGGTCTTTTTGCGGCCAATTAATTCCATACATAAGCCTTTTAAAAAAAAAATTTTTTTTAAATAAATACCATATTTAAAAAAATTTTTAAATAAAAATATTTCTAATTTTTAAGTTAAAAAAAAAATAAATACTGACCACCAATAATACTGCCTACCAGTGCGCCCAATGTCATACTTGAACCGATCCATGACTTTTGATTTCTATCCTCATCGCTATCGTTGGTCAAATGTGGTCGACTGTCCGGCCGGGCCATATCGGCCAGTGCTGGTCCACTCCAACCTAATTGTAATTATTTATTTTTATATATAAAAAAATTGTTTTAATTTATTAGTTAATATATAAATATAGTATATATATCATACATACCTAAAGCACATCCTAATAATAGTGAACCCATTTGGGCGGACACACAGGCAATATATAGACGTATAGATGGCTTACGGTCCGAGTGAGACATTTTTTTTTGTTAATTATATTATTATTATTAATGATTTTTTTATAAAAAAAATATAAATATTATACACAATATTTTAATATAATACAAAAAAAACTATACTTTTAAAAAATATAATAATAAATATGAGTATTAAAAATCAAATCAATTTTAAAACCAGATAATTAATTAATTAATTAATTAAAATATTAATTATATAACAATGTGCGTTGAAAACTAAAATAAAAAATATATATTAATAATTTATATTTTTAAGTCATATCAGAAATTATTAAATTTATAATAATAGGATTTCTAGGTTTTTTGTGTATAATTTATTTTTTTGTAAAATTAATACTTTAAGTAATTAATTTCATGTTTTATATATATATATATATATATATATATATATATATATATATATCAATATATATTTTACTATATGTACTGTATATTTGTATAGTAATACACATAAGTGGTTATATGTGTGTAGTAGGCATTAAATGTCAAATTGATATTAATTTTATTTTATTTTATTTTATTTTATTATATTATCTATTTTGTTTTCATTAATCTAATAATATATTTGTATTATATATTAGTAAAATACTACAGTATTTCAAAAAAAAAATGATATATTGTTAAAATATGTGATTGTTATAAAATGAGATTTTAATTTAGATAATAACACAAGTGTTAGTTTAATTATTAATATAAGTTTATATATATATATATATATCTATTTATATATATATATATTATTATTATAATACTAAATATGTTTAATGTGTTTGTATATTGTTTTTGTTGTTTTTTTTAAATATAAAAATACTAATATTTTTTTTTGTGTATATTTCAAGTTTACAATTAATTTAGTTGTTTTTTATGTTTTGTATGTATTGTAGTTATGTATTATTAAATAATTATCACTTTATTTTATATTAATATATGTATTAAAATATTATAATTGGTATACATAATAATAATAATATTATAATATAGCGCAAGTTTTAAATTTTTATTATATATTTTTTGTTAAAAATTTATAACAAACACATTATAAAAAATTAATAAATTACAATTAGTTAATTTATAAATGTTTATATTAAATTAATAATTAACATATTCAAATATAATATATAAACATAGCTTTTAATTGTATTTTTATTATTATTATTATAATTGTTGATTAGATTTAATAATAAGTTTGAATAATTTGACTGTAATTTTTGATGTAATATATAAAAACTATATATAATAAAAAAAATTATAGAAAATAATAATAATATATAATAAATATAATTTTATTTTTTATATTTATTTTATATTTTATATATTTTTAAAAATATTAATTACCAATTGATATGTAAATTGATTGATCAGAAACAGTTTGCCGCACGAAAAGCCAATATTATGTTTTGATAATTTTTCAATTAATAAAATAAACTATAAATTTAATTTGAAAAATAAAACACAATAAACAAGAAATCATATTAGTATTATAATAATATAAAACATAAATTTATAATATGTTTTTTAAAGTATTAAATTGCATACAAATATATATATATTAATATATAAAAAGTTTAATCAACAAAAAAACAAATTAGTTTTACACAACAAAAAATCATTTAAATGCATAAATAAAATATACAACAAAAACAATTATTATTAATAGAGTATTAATGCTATAATTTTTATTTATTTTTTTAAAAAAATATTTAAACTTTTTTTATTATATTAAATCTGTAAAAAAAATATTTATTTTTTTAATAAATAAATTAAACTTACTTTCAATTTATTAAGCAATTGATTATTATTATTAATATTATTATTGAAAACAATAGGTTTATGATTAGTACAATATAAGTGAACATATAGTGTTGAAAACAATTTCGATGACTGTTTCATATGGCTATTGATATTACTGGCAAACCATATGGTTGTCGATATCAATATGAATCCGTAGATAATACCGAAAATAAAACACAGTGTAATAAACTGATTATATGTATTGAATATCAACGATATTGTCAAACATGATAGCAATGTTGACCATTGAATAAAATATAATAGTAAACTAGTGGACCAAAAATAATTGAGCCAGCTAATACGATAGTTATATGTGTAGAAAAATTTCAATTTTCTAGCTATTAATCGATTTGTTAGATTTAACCTATTATTGTCAACACTAGCTATTAGTAGTAGGGTTGCCAGCTTGCGATTAATTTCCCTAATATCCAATTTAATTAGCTGGCATAGTAGACAAAAATATGATTGATGATAAACTTGGCCTGTATTATTAGTGATGATAAAAATGAGAAATTATAAAAAATAATAGATAAATTTCTAGAAAAGTTTCCAATAGAAATTTCTATCTATGGGATCACCATGGTTAATTTTGTTTTTCTCGATATATATTATCATGGAAACAATACATTGTTTTTTTATACAAGTACTAATTAATTAATATTAGTATTAATTAGTATTTTTAATTATTAATTAAAGTAACAATTTATTTATCTTACAATTCTTAAATGTATAATAAAATTATTATTAAATTTTTTTTWTTTAAAAAACTGATTATTATTAAATATAATTATAATTATTTTACATATAAGGTTACCATAGTATAAGCAATAAAGTTAAATTTCTATCAGAAATTTATTATTAGAAACTTTCTATTTGCTAATCTCTACCTGTATTCATAAATGTATATGTATACCAATAGAATATTGACCATGGTAAACCATAGATTACTAGATTTATCCAGGTAAAATATAGCATCATTGATACAAATGTCATTGTTGAACATATAGTTGATAGTGTAATAGAAAATAGTTTATCAATAATTTTAAAATATTTATTAACCTTGCTTATTATTTCAATTTGTTGTTGTTGTTTATTATTGTTTAGTTTAATTGTAAAAATTTTATTAAAATTTTTATTAGATAATTTTGATGATTGATTTAGTTTCAAATATCTAAACCATTGATCCAATTTGATTAGTATTATAGCTATACATATTGTCAGTAATGGTATCCTAAAATATAGCCTAAATGGCCAATAATAGATCCAATCACCCAGGTACCATGCTAATTGTTCATTATCTAGTATGGTTTGTATTAATAATTTACCTAGTTCAACTAGTATAAATATATTGCCCAAATATGTTATTAAATAATGATAATAATTTGTTTTATAATGAAAATTTTTATCAATAGTTTGATTTAGTAAAATAGGAAAACCATTTTTATAGCATTTATTTCCTAATAAATATAGCAATTGTTTTACTAAATGTTTGGTCATTATTGTTGATTAAATAATATTAATTATGAATAATATTAACTAATAGTAAGTTATTTGTAAGTTATAGTAAGTTAAAAAAATATTTTTTTTAAATAATTTAAACTTATATAATATATATATATATTAATCTAGTAAAAGTACAATTACAAATATTTTTGTTTAAATAATTTAAACTTATAAATATATAATAATATATTAATCTAGTAAAGGTACAAATATAATTAACTTTTTTTTATATAAATTTATTTGAAATAAATTGTTAATTTTAAAAACCAATTATTCATTTTTTTGCACTTAATTTTACTTACAGTAATGTTTAGGAAAATTTTGAAACAAAAAAAACTATTTTATTTTATTATCATTATTATTATTATTATTAAATTATAAACTAAAAAAAGTCTATTAGTATTTTTTTAATCATTAAAAATATAATTTGAATATATATATATATATAAATTATATATCAGATATAATAATAATACTAATAGTAATAATGTTAATAATAGTTAAAAAAATAATACTAGAAAAACAATATTATTGTAAAATTAAATTTTTATTTATTTATTTATTATATATATATAATAATAAAGACACAAATAAAATTAAAATTAAAAATATAATATAAATATCCAATATCTATGTATCAATATATACTGTATATAGTTTTATGTCAATATATATATTTAATATATATTAATTATATGCATACCAATAGTATTTCTAATAAATAATTTATAAATAATGAATAAATTTTATCATAAAAACATTGCCAATAGTTTTAATGTTAGTTTTGTTGTTGTATATAAAAACTGCGAAATAAATTATAAATATATATTATATATATTTAAAAATAAAATTTTAATAGTATATAATAATTTTAATATATATCATATAAATGCTATTTATATATTTAATATACCATATTATATGTAAATTGATTGATCAAAAATAGATGCCAACAATAGAAACCCAATTTACATTCACTGGACCATTGAATCAATAATTTTAACTAAAAAAATATTAGTAATATATTATATATATATTTTTAAATAAAATATTATATTTAATAACTAAAATATAAATTAATTGTTTAGCTTACCTTTATCAATACAGTAATAAACATTGGTTTAGTAATACTATTATTATTAATATTATGAATATTATAATTACAATTGACATTATTTAGACAAACATATAATTTGTGTAACAATTTATTTGATTTATTATATTCAATATATAAACTGCTGGCAAACAATATGACTGCACTGATCATTGAAAATGCTAACAATACAAATGTTATGAAAAATATTGTTAACATTGTATTTAATTTAACGAAAACTAAATGAAACAATAGTATGGATACAATTGTTATTGTTGAAAACCAATAGACAAATATAGCCATGGACCATTGTTGGTTTAGCCAGCTAATTTTGATAACTAATTTATTTATCAGTTTGCTTAATATGTTTATGTTAGCTAATAATTTTAATTGATTCAATCTACATTTTCTAATATTATTATTATCATTATAATTACAATTAATTAGCTTGATAATTTTTTTATTTACCATTGTCCGATATTCTAGTTTAACTAGTAAACATTGTACAATAAACTTAACTAGATGATAGATTAATGTATTACCAAATATAGTATATAAATAGGTAATATATATTGTCCAAAATAAACCATAGGTACAAAAATTGATCCAGCTATAA